CCAAGTGTTTGTTGTCGAGAATAACCCTTCGGGCTTTAGGTTGGGAGCGGTACAGATGCAGCAAAAAGTGTCATGTGCTTAATTTCAGCATAGTCTCACACCTCGGGAACCGCTTAAACCAATCTGCGAGCAGGAATTGATGGGAATTGTGTTTGATGTGCTCAAATGGAAGCATTGTCTCATTGGTCGCAGGTTTGTGGTACATACGGATCAGCGTAGCCTCAAATATATGTTGGAACAACGAGCGGTTTCAATGGAATACCAGCTTGACTTACACGCCTTATGGGATTTCAGTGCGATATCATTTACAAACCTGGGATCGAGAACAAAGCGGCTGATGGTCTTTCCCGACAGATGCAGAGTTCTGTTCCAGAGGCCTGCTCAACCATGTTTGCTCTAATGGTTTCGTCTGCTGTTCAGTTGCAAGATATCTATGCAGATATTGAGCAAGATGACGACATTCAGACCTTATTGCGACAAGTTAGGGCCGTAGACCCTCTGAAGCCAAGGTACTTTGAAGACAGGGTACTTTAAAGCTGATAATAGTTTACGGTTCAAACGAAGGCTGATCATTCCCCCTAGTTCACATTTTATTCCCTTAATCCTTAACAAGAACCATAACAATCTCGTTGGAGGGAATTCTGGTGTCTTCAAGACCTTGAAACGGATCCAACAGACTTTTCTTTGGACTGGTATTCGTTTACATGTCCAGGAGTATGTCTCAGCTTGTGGGATTTGTAAGACTCACAAAACCTCATCGCTTTCACCGCCTGGCCTACTTCAGCCTTTACCTATTCTGACGATGGTTTGGCAAGACATAATCATGGATTTCATTGACGGCGTACCTGCTTCTCGTGGTGTCAGTGTGATTATTGTTGTCGTGGACCCCTTCAGCAAGTTTGTGCATTTATACGGTCTCAAACACCTGTATATAGCAAGTTATGTGGCCATAAGTTCACTTCGGAAGTGGTGAAACTCCATGGTTTTCCAGATTCTATTTTCTCTGATAAAGATAACGTTTTCCTGAGATCATTCTGGAAGGAAAGTTTCAAGCTGCCGGGAACTACATTGAAATACATCACTGC